GTGTGTGAGTGTGGTAAACACACGTGAGTGTGTGAGTGTGTGGTAACACACGTGAGTGAGTGTGTGTGTGGTAAACACACGTGAGTGTGTTTGAGTGTGGTAAACACACGTGAGTGTGTGAGTGTGTGGTAACACACGTGAGTGAGTGTGTGTGTGGTAAACACACGTGTGTGAGTGAGTGAGTGTGTGGTAAACACACGTGAGTGTGTGTGAGTGTGGTAAACACACGTGAGTGAGTGAGTGGTAAACACGCGTGAGTGAGTGTGTGTGTGGTAAACACACGTGAGTGTGTGTGAGTGTGGTAAACACACGTGAGTGAGTGTGTGGTAAACACGTGAGTGAGTGTGTGTGTGTGGTAAAGACACGTGAGTGAGTGTGTGGTAAACACGTGAGTGAGTGTGAGTGTGGTAAACACACGTGAGTGTGTGTGAGTGTGGTAAACACACGTGAGTGTGTGTGAGTGTGGTAAACACACGTGAGTGAGTGAGTGAGTGTGTGGTAAACACGTGAGTGAGTGTGTGTGTGGTAAACACACGTGAGTGTGTGTGAGTGTGGTAAACACACGTGAGAGTGTGTGTGTGGTAAACACACGTGAGTGTGTGTGAGTGTGGTAAACACACGTGAGTGTGTGTGAGTGTGGTAAACACACGTGAGAGTGTGTGTGTGGTAAACACACGTGAGTGTGTGTGTGTGGTAAACACACGTGAGTGTGTGTGAGTGTGGTAACACACGTGAGTGTGTGTGAGTGTGGTAAACACGTGAGTGTGTGTGTGTGTGGTAAACACACGTGAGTGTGTGTGAGTGTGGTAAACACACGTGAGAGTGTGTGAGTGTGGTAACACACGTGAGTGTGTGTGAGTGTGGTAAACACACGTGAGTGTGTGTGAGTGTGGTAAACACACGTGAGAGTGTGTGAGTGTGGTAACACACGTGAGTGTGTGTGAGGGTGGTAACACACGTGAGTGTGTGTGTGAGTGTGGTAAACACACGTGAGAGTGTGTGAGTGTGGTAAACACACGTGAGAGTGTGTGAGTGTGGTAACACACGTGAGTGTGTGTGAGTGTGGTAAACACACGTGAGTGTGTGTGAGTGTGGTAAACACACGTGAGAGTGTGTGTGTGTGGTAAACACACGTGAGTGTGTGTGAGTGTGGTAAACACACGTGAGTGTGTGTGTGTGGTAAACACACGTGAGTGAGTGTGTGTGTGGTAACACACGTGAGTGTGTGTGAGTGTGGTAAACACACGTGAGAGTGTGTGTGTGGTAAACACGTGAGAGTGTGTGTGTGGTAAACACACGTGAGTGAGTGTGTGTGTGTGTGGTAAACACACGTGAGTGAGTGTGAGTGTGGTAAACACACGTGAGTGAGTGTGAGTGTGGTAACACACGTGAGTGAGTGTGTGGTAAACACACGTGAGTGAGTGTGTGTGTGTGGTAAAGACACGTGAGTGAGTGAGTGTGTGGTAAACACGTGAGTGAGTGTGAGTGTGGTAAACACACGTGAGTGTGTGTGAGTGTGGTAAACACACGTGAGTGTGTGTGAGTGTGGTAAACACACGTGAGTGAGTGAGTGAGTGTGTGGTAAACACGTGAGTGAGTGTGTGTGTGGTAAACACACGTGAGTGTGTGTGAGTGTGGTAAACACACGTGAGAGTGTGTGTGTGGTAAACACACGTGAGTGTGTGTGAGTGTGGTAAACACACGTGAGTGTGTGTGAGTGTGGTAAACACACGTGAGAGTGTGTGTGTGGTAAACACACGTGAGTGTGTGTGTGTGGTAAACACACGTGAGTGTGTGTGAGTGTGGTAACACACGTGAGTGTGTGTGAGTGTGGTAAACACACGTGAGTGTGTGTGTGTGTGGTAAACACACGTGAGTGTGTGTGAGTGTGGTAAACACACGTGAGAGTGTGTGAGTGTGGTAACACACGTGAGTGTGTGTGAGTGTGGTAAACACACGTGAGTGTGTGTGAGTGTGGTAAACACACGTGAGAGTGTGTGAGTGTGGTAACACACGTGAGTGTGTGTGAGTGTGGTAACACACGTGAGTGTGTGTGTGAGTGTGGTAAACACACGTGAGAGTGTGTGAGTGTGGTAAACACACGTGAGAGTGTGTGAGTGTGGTAACACACGTGAGTGTGTGTGAGTGTGGTAAACACACGTGAGTGTGTGTGAGTGTGGTAAACACACGTGAGAGTGTGTGTGTGTGGTAACACACGTGAGTGTGTGTGAGTGTGGTAAACACACGTGAGTGTGTGTGTGTGGTAAACACACGTGAGTGAGTGTGTGTGTGTGTGGTAACACACGTGAGTGTGTGTGAGTGTGGTAAACACACGTGAGAGTGTGTGTGTGGTAAACACACGTGAGAGTGTGTGTGTGGTAAACACACGTGAGTGAGTGTGTGTGTGTGTGGTAAACACACGTGAGTGAGTGTGAGTGTGGTAACACACGTGAGTGAGTGTGAGTGTGGTAACACACGTGAGTGAGTGTGAGTGTGGTAAACACACGTGAGTGAGTGTGAGTGTGGTAAACACACGTGAGTGAGTGTGTGAGTGTGGTAAACACACGTGTGGAGTGTGTGTGTGGGTAAACACACGTGAGTGAGGTGTGGTAAACACGTGAGTGAGTGTGAGTGTGGTAAACACACGTGAGTGAGTGTGTTGTGGTAAACCACACGTGAGTGAGTGTGTGGTAAACACGTGAGTGTGTGTGAGTGTGGTAAACACGTGAGTGAGTGTGAGTGTGGTAAACACGTGAGTGTGTGTGTGGTAAACACACGTGAGTGAGTGTGTGGTAAACACGTGAGTGAGTGTGGTAAACACGTGAGTGAGTGTGAGTGTGGTAAACACACGTGAGTGAGTGTGTGGTAAACACGTGAGTGTGTGTGAGTGTGGTAAACACACGTGAGTGAGTGTGTGGTAAACACGTGAGTGAGTGTGAGTGTGGTAACACACGTGAGTGAGTGTGAGTGTGGTAAACACACGTGAGTGAGTGTGAGTGTGGTAAACACACGTGAGTGAGTGTGTGAGTGTGGTAAACACACGTGTGTGAGTGTGTGTGGTAAACACACGTGAGTGAGTGTGTGGTAAACACGTGAGTGAGTGTGAGTGTGGTAAACACACGTGAGTGAGTGTGTGTGTGGTAAACACACGTGAGTGAGTGTGTGGTAAACACGTGAGTGTGTGTGAGTGTGGTAAACACGTGAGTGAGTGTGAGTGTGGTAAACACGTGAGTGTGTGTGTGGTAAACACACGTGAGTGAGTGTGTGGTAAACACGTGAGTGAGTGTGGTAAACACGTGAGTGAGTGTGAGTGTGGTAAACACACGTGAGTGAGTGTGTGGTAAACACGTGAGTGTGTGTGAGTGTGGTAAACACACGTGAGTGAGTGTGTGGTAAACACGTGAGTGAGTGTGAGTGTGGTAAACACATGTGAGTGAGTGTGTGTGAGTGTGGTAAACACACGCGTGTGAGTGTGTGTGTGGTAAACACACGTGAGTGAGTGAGTGTGTGGTAAACACACGTGAGTGAGTGTGTGTGAGTGTGGTAAACACACGTGAGTGAGTGTGTGAGTGTGTGGTAAACACATGTGAGTGAGTGTGTGGTAAACACACGTGAGTGAGTGTGTGTGAGTGTGGTAAACACACGTGTGTGAGTGTGTGGTAAACACACGTGAGTGAGTGTGTGTGAGTGTGGTAAACACGTGAGTGAGTGTGAGTGTGGTAAACACACGTGAGTGAGTGTGTGTGTGTGTGTAAACACACGTGAGTGAGTGTGTGTGTGTGGTAAACACACGTGAGTGAGTGTGTGTGGTAAACACACGTGAGTGAGTGTGTGTGTGTGGTAAACACACGTGAGTGAGTGTGTGTGTGTGGTAAACACACGTGAGTGAGTGTGTGAGTGTGGTAAACACACGTGAGTGTGTGTGTGGTAAACACACGTGAGTGAGTGTGTGTGTGTGTGGTAAACATACGTGAGTGAGTGTGTGTGTGTGGTAAACACACGTGAGTGAGTGTGTGTGTGTGTGGTAAACACACGTGAGTGAGTGTGTGTGTGGTAAACACACGTGAGTGAGTGTGTGTGTGGTAACACACGTGAGTGAGTGTGTGTGTGGTAAACACACGTGAGTGAGTGTGAGTGTGGTAAACACATGTGAGTGAGTGTGTGTGTGTGGTAAACACACGTGAGTGAGTGAGTGTGTGTGGTAAACACACGTGAGTGTGTGTGTGTGTGGTAAACACACGTGAGTGAGTGAGTGTGTGTGGTAAACACACGTGAGTGAGTGTGTGTGTGTGGTAAACACACGTGAGTGAGTGTGTGTGTGTGGTAAACACACGTGAGTGAGTGTGTGAGTGTGGTAAACACACGTGAGTGTGTGTGTGGTAAACACACGTGAGTGAGTGTGTGTGTGTGTGGTAAACATACGTGAGTGTGTGTGTGTGGTAAACACACGTGAGTGAGTGTGTGTGTGTGGTAAACACACGTGAGTGAGTGTGTGTGTGGTAAACACACGTGAGTGAGTGTGTGTGTGGTAAACACACGTGTGTGAGTGTGTGTGTGGTAAACACACGTGAGTGTGTGTGTGGTAAACACACGTGAGTGAGTGTGTGAGTGTGGTAAACACACGTGAGTGTGAGTGTGGTAAACACACGTGAGTGAGTGTGTGTGTGTGGTAAACACACGTGAGTGTGTGTGTGGTAAACACACGTGAGTGTGTGTGTGGTAAACACGTGAGTGAGTGAGTGTGGTAAACACACGTGAGTGTGTGTGTGGTAAACACACGTGAGTGTGTGTGGTAAACACACGTGTGTGAGTGTGTGTGTGGTAAACACACGTGAGTGTGTGTGTGGTAAACACGTGAGTGAGTGTGTGTGTGTGGGAAACACACGTGAGTGTGTGTGAGTGTGGTAAACACACGTGAGTGAGTGTGTGAGTGTGGTAAACACACGTGAGTGTGTGAGTGTGTGGTAAACACACGTGAGTGTGTGTGTGGTAAAACACACCTTGCACAGTAATGTGGCTTGTGCAGTCAAGGCGAAGTCTTCCTGGACCCACTCGGCTGAGACGAAAGACGACAAAACGCCACTCGTGGTTGGTTATGCTGTTACCCCACACACACCCAATTCGGTGGTGTGTGTGTGTGGTAAACACACGTGTGTGAGTGTGTGTGTGTGGTAAACACACGTGAGTGTGTGGTAAACACACGTGAGTGTGTGTGAGTGTGTGTGAGCGAGTGTGTGCGTGGTAAACACACGTGAGTGTGTGGTAAACACACGTGAGTGTGTGTGTGTGAGTGTGTGTGTGGTAAACACACGTGAGTGTGTGTGTGTGAGTGTGTGTGAGCGAGTGTGTGCGTGGTAAACACACGTGAGTGTGTGTGTGTGTGAGTGAGTGTGTGTTTGGTAAACACACCAGAGTGTATATATATCTGTCGATGTAAGCGTAGATCTGCGTTCGTGTGTCGAGACACACAGAGAGAGAGAGACACACACAGAGACAAGGCACTGCTGTAATAAAACACACACACAGAGAGACACACAGAGAGACAAGACACTGCACTAATAAAACACACAAACACACACAGTGAGAGAGGGAGAGACACACAGAGAGACAAGGCACTGCACTAATAAAACACACACAGTGAGAGAGACACACAGTGAGAGACAAACACACACACAGAGACAAGGCACTAATAAAGCACACAAACACACACAGAGAGAGAGACACACACAGAGAGACAAGACACTGCACTAATAAAATACACAAACACACACAGTGAGAGAGGCAGAGACACACAGAGAGACAAGGCACTGCACTAATAAAACACACACAGTGAGAGAGACACACAGTGAGAGACAAACACACACAGAGACAAGGCACTAATAAAGCACACAAACACACACAGAGAGAGAGACACACACAGAGAGACAAGACACTGCTCTAATAAAACACACACAGTGAGAGAGACACACAGTGAGAGACAAACACACACACAGAGACAAGGCACTAATAAAGCACACAAACACACACAGAGAGAGAGACACACACACACACAGAGACAAGGCACTAATAAAGCACACAAACACACACAGAGAGAGAGACACACACAGAGAGACAAGGCACTGCACTAATAAAACACACACACACACACCTGGCACCTGTACAGGTGTGGTGGTGATTGGGGGTGGCTCCGAGTCGCCACGCCTGCACTTGTGGACGTTGTCAGGAAACTGAGCAGGGTCGTGGGGAGTGTTGGGGGGGTGGAGGTGGAGGTGGAGGAGGAGGTGGAGGTGGAGGAGGAGGTTACAAAGGCAAAGGTGCCCCAGGTAGCCTGCGCAGGATGCTGCGGGCAAGTGGAAGTTTTTAGCGAGCGCGCCTGTGAGTGAGGGGCCACCCATTGAGATGACTGACACGCATCAATCTGTCACAATTTGATCTCTTCCCCCCCCCTACTCTATACTCTTTGATTCTTTCGGTAAAGTCACAGAAATAAAATGAAATAATTCACGACGTTTCGATCGCAACACCAGCGGTCGTTATCAGGCAAAGGAGTCGGGCACGCGGACGTTTTACACCCCCCCCCCCTTTCTCCAAATCCTATAGTACGGCCGATGTTTAATCTACGCAGAAACGATCAAGGATTTAAATATATTGACGTGACTTAGAACTTTCGTGACTGCAGGGATTCATTTTCTCTGGTTCTTTCTTTCAAGTCGCATCGATAGAAAAAATAATATTAAAATAATAAAAATAAAGTGAATAAAAAATAATAATAAATATCACGACGTTTCGATCGCAAAACAAGCGGACGAAACGGCGTGATTTTTTTTGTCACTTTACTTTTATTATTTTATTGTAATTTTTTAATCACTTTAGATTTCGTACTTTATTGTTATTTTTAATCACTTTATTTTTCTTATGTTATAGTTATTTTTATTCACTTAAATGTTCTTATTTTATTGTAATTTTTAGTCACTTTATTTTTCTTATTTTATTGTAATTTTTAATCACTTTATTTTTCTTATTTTATTGTTATTTTTTAGTCACTTTATTCTTGTTATTTCATTGTTATTTTTTTGTCACTTTATTTTTCTTACTTTATTGTTTTTTATATTTTCTATCTACGTGACTTTACCGAAAGAACCATAGACTATAATATTAACGCGTTTAAGCAAACAGACAGTCCCCCGCCGGACTCTTTAACTCATTTGAAGGCCAATGTCGACAAATTATTGTCGAGGCTTCACCGCCCCAAAGACAAAGGTCCCCCGATAAGCGTAGCCTTTGCAAACTGTCAGGGCAAGTGCTCTGTTAGCGAGCGCCTATTAAGGGCCCGGGTACGGCGCAACGAGGGCGATAGCACCACGCCCGGCCGCCTTTGTCTCCCCGAGGTACTCATTTGAGGCTGAGTCGACCTGGAGGCGCGTCCCAGGACCGGTTCAGAGATGATCGTCGCCGATTGCGTTGGCGGTCGTGAGCGGGAATCGAACTTGGCTCGCTGGGTTAGGAGTGCATTGCGCTAACCACTGCGCCACCGCTCTTCGTTCATATAACAAAGACAAAGGTCCCCCGTATAGCCTTAAACAGACTGCTGGGGCAAGTGCTGTTAGCGAGTAGCACCTATGAAGGCCGGCACGGCACACCAGTGACGATTATCTGAACCGGTCCTGGGCCTCCCCTAGGTCGACTCGGCCTAAAATGAGTACCTGGTGCGTAGTTAACATCGCCACTGGGGGAGACAAAGGCGGCCGGGCGTGGTGCTGGCCACCCACCCCCTCGTGTGCCGTACCGGCCTTCATAAGTGCTCGCTAACACCACTTGCCCCTACAGTCTCTTAAGGCTACACGGGGGTCTTTGTCACCTCTACACACACACCTCTACACACACACACATCTACACACGCACATCTACACACACACACCCTACATACGTACAAATAGACGAAATGGAGGAAGTGAATGCAAATTTAGGGCGTCAGAGTGAAACTTTACAACAGGCGGAGTCAAATTTCCGCATGCTTCGTGACCGGTACGTGCGTGCATGCGTGTGTGTGCGTGTGTTTGTGTGTTAGGTTCTGGACCAACGCCAGTGACGATTATCTGCACCGGTCCTGGGCCTCCTTCCCCAGGACGACTCAGCCTCAAATGAGTACCTGGTGCGGTGGGTGAACATCGCCACTGGGGAGACAAAGGCGGCCGGGCGTGGTGCTGGCCAAAATCTCCCTCACTCATTCACTCACCTACCGTCTCACCTAACATCTAACTCATTCACTCACTCACCATCTCACCCAACATCTCACTCACTCATTCACTCACCCACACACTCACCCAAAATCTAACTCACTCATTCACTCACTCACCATCTCACCCAACATTTCATTCATTCACTCACTCACCATCTCACCCAACATCTCACTCATTCACTCACCCAACATCTAATTCACTCATTCACTCACTCACCATCTCACCCAACATCTCACTCACTCATTCACTCACCCACACACTCACCCAACATCTAACTCACTCATTCACTCACTCACCATCTCACTCAACATCTAACTCACTCATTCACTCACCCAACATCTAACTCACTCATTCACTCACTCACTCACCATCTCAGCCAACATCTAACTCACTCATTCACTCACTCACCATCTCAGCCAATATATAACTCACTCATTCACTCACTCACCATCTCACCCAACATCTAACTCACTCATTCACTCACCCACACTCTCACCAAACATCTAACTCACTCACCATCTCAGCCAACATCTAACTCACTCATTGACTCACCCACACTCTCACCCAACATCTAACTCACTCATTCACTCACTCACCATCTCACCCAACATGTAATTCACTCATTCACTCACCCAACATCTAACTCACCCATTCACTCACTCACCATCTCAGCCAACATCTAACTCACTCATTCACTCACCCAACATCTAACTCACCCATTCACTCACTCACCATCTCAGCCAACATCTAACTCACTCATTCACTCACTCACCATCTCACCCAACATCTAACTCACTCATTGACTCACCCACACTCTCACCCAACATCTAACTCACTCATTCACTCACTCACCATCTCAGCCAACATCTAACTCACTCATTCACTCACTCACCATCTCAGCCAACACCTAACTCACTTATTCACTCACTCACCATCTCACCCAACATCTAACTCACCCATTCACTCACCCAACATCTCACTCACTCATTCACTCACCCACACTCTCACCCAATATCTAACTCACTCATTCACTCACTCACCATCTCAGCCAACATGTAACTCACTCACTCACTATCTCACTCACTCATTCACTCACCCACCCTTTCACCGAACATGTAACTCACTCATATTCTTTGGGTCTTTCGGTAAAGTAGCTACATCGAACTCGCACTTTCAAGGCCCCCGCGCTAAATGCTTTCAAGCTATCAATTCCGGTTAAGTGATTCTGCACTTGCTCTATTACTATAGTACTATACCGCCTTCGACTTTTATGAACGACTGGGTATTTAAGGTTAGCTATTTGTCGTATTATCTGGCTGTATAGCAAATTAAAAAATACAATTACTTTACGATGCAAGACAAAACATTGTTTCAATATTTATGTGTTTTTTTTTATTTAGGGCCCCTTCATAACATTTGCTACAGGCCCCGCACTAGCTTAGTCCGGCACTGCTCAGCACCAAATATTGACCTCAGACACAGGGCATCGAGTGGATATATCAACACGTGCCCCCTACGTCACAACAGAAGACAAAGATCTAACCCGAAACCCTTTGTACTGGTAGGAACCTCCTGGTTCCACCAGCCCACAGGGGATTATTGTGTCCGTCCGTCGTGCAGGGAGGGGCTGGGTGGGGAGGGAGGGGCTGGGTGGGGAGGGGAGGGTGGGGAGGGGCTGGGTGGGGAGGGTGGGGAGGGGCTGGGTAGGGAGGGGCTGGGTGGGGCTGGGTGGGTGGTGGGAGGGGTGGGGCTGGGTGGGGAGGGACTGGTCACCCTGTGGTGCCCTTATAAAACTCAACGTTTAACCTACTCACGCCGGCTTGTGCCCGCCCTCACAGTCGGGAATATTTGCGGAATACACCACGCCGCCGTTAACCCTGGCCATTGACCGAGCAACCCAACGCTCCTACCAGCTCCCTCCGCAGGAATGTGTTGAATAAGATGCAGACGGTCAGGTAGGTTGGACAGGCAGCGAGACACGCAGATTGAGACGTAGATGCAGACGAGCAGGTAGGCAGGCAGACAAAACCCTTATGCGTACATGTAGACATACAATTGAGACATGGGGACACTGTGCAGACGTACAAGGGGTGGGGGCGGATCGGTTCAGATGTCACTCGCCACTCACGTGGCCATAGCTGCAGCGCGCTAACCACTGTGCCACCGCTCGATTTACTAACCGATTATACACTGGTCAACAAATTCTGGCCTGGACTTTTGCGGCTGTTTTAGACTAATTTCAGGGTGCTGATTCCAAATCTGATCTCAGATTTGCTCTATCACATCTCATTTTTATGCTATCGGCATACCATATTTTCATTGATTTTACCCGAAATTAACTCTGTCACTTATTATTGCAAGTTGTTGCGAGTCAGTGACTGCTTTAGTGTTAAAATATGGTGCTGTATTTTTAGGATAGTGTGTTTATAATATCACTTTATGTAGATATCCACATTTATTTAATATTTTTCTTCTGCAGTTTTTATTGAAAATGCAATATTTGATATCTCAAAAACCTGATGTGATAGACGAAAACTGATGCCAGATTTGGAATCAGCACCCCAAAATTACATTAAACCCGTTGGAATACCTTATGCCAGAAAAAAATAAACCTGTAAAAACTAAGTTTTTTTTTTTTCACTATAAATCCTTTATATGCGTGGCGGCTAGAGTCCTCTCGTCCTCTGGCTTGAGATAGCTGCCACCTATGGGTCAGATGATTGTCTGCCACCATTAAGCAATTGGTAATTAAATATCAAATTCTTTTTTCCTAAAAAGTGTAAAATTTTGGAAAAAAAATTTGGAAAAAATTTTTACACGAAAATT